GACAAAACGGGTTTTAACAAAGACATTCAGTATAAACTAGTTTCAACTAGACAAAACGGGTTTTAACAAAGACATTCAGTATAAACTAGTTTCAACTAGACAAAACGGGTTTTAACAAAGACATTCAGTATAAACTAGTTTCAACGGGACAAAACGGGTTTTAACAAAGACATTCAGTATAAACTAGTTTCAACTAGACAAAACGGGTTTTAACAAAGACATTCAGTATAAACTAGTTAAAACGCGTTCTAACTAAAAACGGGTTTTGACTGTAACATATATATATAATCTCCACTATTCTTTATTTCTTCTGCTTGTCTTGCTCTTTGTTACAATGTGTGTGGGCCCTTCTAGTAAATGTTTTAATGGCCACTATTCTGTAATTGTATGGGTCATTAGAATCAGCTGCAAAGTATATTAGAATAGAGCTTGGTTTGTGGTATATTTTATTAGAGATTCGCACATACCCATCCAGCAAAAGAACTGAAGCTCGACAATGCAACAGAAGTCTCACCAGCAGTTCCCAGGCTGTTTGCTTATGCAAAAACGCATAAACGAGGAATGAAATTGAGACCTATCCTAGATAAAACCAATACACCCACCAGAAAAATTGAGCAAAAGATCCATGAGCTTCTGACTATGCACCTAGAATGCTATTATTTGCAGTTACCAATTTGCAGTTAATTGACGCTATATGGGACGGTTCGCCATCCGAAGACTTCTGGATCACTGTTTTAAATTTTAAGGCTCTATTTCCATCAATTAAACTGGAGCCCTGTTTTTGCACTTTATGGGATTGGCTTATGACAAAGGTGGAGAACTGTATGAACCATAAACAAATACTAGAACTATCTCATATGCTATGTTACAATTGGATGTAAAAATACTTACAATTGGATGGAAAAATGTTCCTTCAAAAAAGATGAATACCTATGGGTAACCCACTATCAGGTGACTTGGCTGAAATTGTAGTCTCTCTCTTAGAAGCCAAGATCATCCTCAAATATCTTTCCAATATTGAAACATATAAAAAATACATTGATGATGTATGAATCATCTGGAGAATAAAACCAAACATCAATGATTTATTTATACACTGTATGAATAACAATCCATATGGTCTTACAATTGAGTTGGAACAAATGACTAATAAGGAAGCTCATTTTTTAAGACATTAATATCACCTTTAATGGTAGTGGATATAATACCATAAAATATACCACAAACCGAGCTCTATTCCAATATATATATCCCAGCTAATTCTAATGACCCATAAAACTACAGAATAGCAGTCATTAGAGCACTTATTAGAAGGGCCCACACACATCATAACAAAGAGCAAGACAGTCAGAAGGAAATAAAAAATAGTGGAACTTGCTGAAATGCATGGCTATAATAAAGGCTTAGTATATAAAATGGCAAACAAGTAGAGAAATCAACTCAAAGATGAACTGAATAGAACTCCAATAAGAGAAATTCCCCAGCAAGATGCATCTCCCTACTGTATTATTATAACCTATAAGCACCATATGCATTCTTTATATTGAGAATTTGAAACGTATACAAAAATTGCTTACAGATGTAAACTTGATACATTCAGACTGATTAGGAATGAGAAAGATCAAGCAGACATAGAAACAGCACCGGGGTATATGAAATTCCACTCAAAGCTAACAGGTTTAATAGAGACTTTGTATACAACAGATCTACAAGAAGATCTCTAAAACAATGCCTCCCTGAACACAAAGCAGATATATAAAAAAAAAAAACCTGCCACCTTTGCTATATATGCCAGTGAAAACAGGATTTAACTGGAACTAGAACAACCTACCCTAACACAATAAACCCACCATATAAACCAACTTAGGGATTTGGAGTCATTGGAGATTTATTAAAGCAGACTGCCAGGGCTTTTGATTAGTTTTAAAGACAAAAAAAAAAAAAAAAATCTCAAAGGCATGGCAATCTATGTACGACCTGATGCTATAATAAACGACGCATGCACACACATTTAAAAATTCATAAAATGAAATGCTCGAAAATCAAATACATCAGAACCAAATAGATCATCACTAACACTAGAAAGAATCTTTTTTCAAAAATCTGCCTGAAAAAGCTCTTAGACATGAACTGATAATATTTGCACTTATTTTTGAAAATTATCACTAAGTGCAATAATGTGTAGTACATTTTGTTTATAATTAATGTTTTGCTTAGTGCAACGGTTCCCAACCTTTTTCGGGTGGCGACCCCCTTTTTATAAAAGCCAAGTGACCCGCGACCCCGATACATTTGAAAAAGGTATTTTTAATAAGGTAATTAAAAAAAACAATGAAATTAGTTTTTTAGTATAATTTTATTTTAAATTATGTTTAATAATTAATTTAATGAGATGGTTGAAATTGCATGTATTATTAACCAGCCTCAAAATTCGCGGGTGAGATTTTGTTAACGCCAACCTCATGTCATTCTCAACATTTAATTTATTCCTCTCAAAACTCTCAACACATGATTTAACTAACTGTTACAGAATAGCATACCCAGATTAAACTTATTTTAATTTTTTAAAAATATATGAAATTATTAAAAGTTTAAGACACCATTTAAAATAAATATTGCTTTATAGTGAAAATTTTGTTTTAGTTTACTTCATAAGTTGGCGACCCCACAGAAAACTCGTCGCGACCCCCTTCTGGGTCGCGACCCATAGGTTGGGAACCCATGGCTTAGTGGATTGTTTTTAATTTTAAGATAATCAAATGAGATAAATACATAACTTGGTGTGAAAATTTATTATTTTTATTAAAAAAAAATTCCTAATTGGTTAACAAACACCCACAACTGCCATAAATTATCGGGCTAAAATTTGGATATAATGATTATAAATTAGAAATTAATTTGGCACTAGAGTGTAGTGTTAGGTGCCATCTCGTATTAAATTTAATTACAATATTTAATTAATTAATTTAGATTAACTAAATTAATTCTAGTGCCAAATTCATTTATAATCATTATATCCAAATTTTAGCCTGATCATTTCCAGCAGTTGTGGGTGTTTGTTTGCTTAATGTTGGATTTGATTGATGTATGTATCTGTATATTCCTAATTGGTAATATTATTAATTTTTAATTGGCTTATGAAAATTTAAATTGAAACTATTCTAAACATTCACAAGAGGCACCATCTCATATGTTCTGCATATATTATTTATATTTTAAAGATTTAGTTAAGAATTATAATTGTATGTAAAACATCAAAAAATAGATCAAAATTTTCAGTTTTTACAACTTAATTATTCATTTGCACATGATGAATGAGTAAGTCATTAAGAAAATGTAATAAACACAATGCTGATTAAAATTATTTATAAAATTAAAACAAAAATAATAACTTTTATAAAAACAAAATTCAGATGTTTAAATTTGAAACCATTTTACACTTTAAAAATCATACCTCAACATTTCTAAATATGCTATCTCGTTGACTTGCAAAGTAATTTTCCATAAACGCTTCTTGGCCCCCACAATCCCAAAGATTTAAAACAAGATTTCCAAGGAAACGAACATGAGAATGCTCGACATCAACTACAAATAGAATGTAAAATTAGTTAATTAAAAAAAAGTAAAAAAATGCAATTCTACACATTGTAAAAGCAGAAAATGAAAAATTTTTCTGAAATATTATATGTTTAATCTGAAATTAACATGAAAAAACATTGCTAGAAGATAGATTGTTCAAAACATTGAACTTGTCTTTGAATTAAAAGTTTCAACAATTAGCAACAATTTATAAAAAAAAAATAAGAAAAATACTTTGTATTCTAATGCAGTGGTCCCCAACCCCCGGGCCATGGTCCTCAAATGGTACCGGGCCGCCCAAGGAACATTAAATTATTTCCATTTTATTTACTATGGTGTATTTGTCTCAGGTTTGTGCGACTTTTAANCATTAAAAATAAATATTGCTTTATAGTGAAAATTTTGTTTTAGTTTACTTCATAAGTTGGCGACCCCACAGAAAACTCGTCGCGACCCCCTTCTGGGTCGCGACCCATAGGTTGGGAACCCATGGCTTAGTGGATTGTTTTTAATTTTAAGATAATCAAATGAGATAAATACATAACTTGGTGTGAAAATTTATTATTTTTATTAAAAAAAATTCCTAATTGGTTAACAAACACCCACAACTGCCATAAATTATCGGGCTAAAATTTGGATATAATGATTATAAATTAGAAATTAATTTGGCACTAGAGTGAGGCGTTAGGTGCCATCTCTTATTAAAATTAATAATTACAATATTTAATTAATTAATTTAGATTAACTAAATTAATTCTAGTGCCAAATTCATTTATAATCATTATATCCAAATTTTAGCCTGATCATTTCCAGCAGTTGTGGGTGTTTGTTTGCTTAATATTGGATTTGATTGATGTATGTATCTGTATATTCCTAATTGGTAATATTATTAATTTTTAATTGGCTTATGAAAATTTAAATTGAAACTATTCTAAACATTCACAAGAGGCACCATCTCATATGTTCTGCATATATTATTTATATTTTAAAGATTTAGTTAAGAATTATAATTGTATGTAAAACATCAAAAAATAGATCAAAATTTTCAGTTTTTACAACTTAATTATTCATTTGCACATGATGAATGAGTAAGTCATTAAGAAAATGTAATAAACACAATGCTGATTAAAATTATTTATAAAATTAAAACAAAAATAATAACTTTTATAAAAACAAAATTCAGATGTTTAAATTTGAAATCATTTTACACTTTAAAAATCATACCTCAACATTTCTAAATATGCTATCTCGTTGACTTGCAAAGTAATTTTCCATAAACGCTTCTTGGCCCCCACAATCCCAAAGATTTAAAACAAGATTTCCAAGGAAACGAACATGAGAATGCTCGACATCAACTACAAATAGAATGTAAAATTAGTTAATTAAAAAAAAGTAAAAAAATGCAATTCTACACATTGTAAAAGCAGAAAATGAAAAATTTTTCTGAAATATTATATGTTTAATCTGAAATTAACATGAAAAAACATTGCTAGAAGATAGATTGTTCAAAACATTGAACTTGTCTTCGAATTAAAAGTTTCAACAATTAGCAACAATTTATAAAAAAAAAATAAGAAAAATACTTTGTATTCTAATGCAGTGGTCCCCAACCCCCGGGCCATGGTCCTCAAATGGTACCGGGCCGCCCAAGGAACATTAAATTATTTCCATTTTATTTACTATGGTGTATTTGTCTCAGGTTTGTGCGACTTTTAATAGATGACGGAACAATGGAATAAACTGGGCATAAGAAACACACTTTGGGTGTCATTGTCTCCTATTACCCCCAGATGGAACTGTCTCGTTGCAAAGAAACAAGCTCAGGGTTCTCATTGATTTAGCATTCTAGTGAGTTAAAACATTAAATCACATTATATTCATTTTTTGGTGTAACTGTATTTTATTTTGAAGGCATGTTTAAACACAGTTAAATTAAAATTATTAAATTAAATCAATCTAAAATATGAACAATCAACGTCCCCCCTCAGTGGGCCGTGGTAAAGTTATCAAACGTTGACCGGTCCGTGGCGATAAAAAGGTTGGAAACCGCTGCTCTAATGGATTTAGTAAGTTAAATGTTGAATTAATTACATCCCCCCTCAGTGGGCCGTGGTAAAGTTATCAAACGTTGACCGGTCCGTGGCGATAAAAAGGTTGGGGACCGCTGCTCTAATGGATTTAGTAAGTTAAATGTTGAATTAATTACAGAATAATTTGTCACAAGAGGCACCATCTCTTATTAAATTTAGTAATTATAATTAAATTAATATTTATTAAATAATTTAAAGTAATCATGGAGAAGTAGCCTGATTTAATCTGGCAGTTGTTTGGCATATTATAATATATAAGGCATGCAATGCCAAAAAAACAAATTTTTCAAGAGAGGTAAAAAAATANTATCAAACGTTGACCGGTCCGTGGCGATAAAAAGGTTGGAAACCGCTGCTCTAATGGATTTAGTAAGTTAAATGTTGAATTAATTACTGAATAATTTGTCACAAGAGGCACCATCTCTTATTAAATTTAGTAATTATAATTAAATTAATATTTATTAAATAATTTATAATATTCTGAATTAATTAAATGTAACTATGGAAAAGTAGCCAGATGTAATCCTGTGATTGTTTGGCTTTAATTGTTGACTTTTAGGAATTATTTTTTAAATTATAAGTTGTTAACTTTTTAAATATTATACTTTGCATAGTGTTTGTACATTAAGAATACTCTGATGAATGATGATTAAGACATTAGTTTATTAAGCACTTGAAAATTCAAACATTCAACTTCTGGAAGAAGGCCACCCATTATTTTATTTTATAAATAGTAAGAGTTGCAAAAATAACATTATTGGGCAAGTAACTTTTTGTAATATTTAAATTTATTTAATAAAAGTTAAAACATAGGCCAATAAGACTGTACAATTTTTTAACATTTAAAAGAATTTTTTCAGAGAAAGCAGTAACTTTATTCAATAATTTATAGTTTGTTTTCATTTGTAATCTTTTGCTCAAAGAACTTCCTGTCTTTCATGGGAAAAAAAAAAAAACTGAAGAACCTTTCATGCCTTCCTCAGAAAAAGTGCTGTCCATTTAAGAAATTCTGAAGAGAGCAAAGCAGATAGTAATCAGAGGATGCAATATTTAGTGAATATGGAAAATGAGATAAGACCTCCCAGGCCAACTCCAATAATTTTTGATGTATTTGCAAAGATAAATGAAGATGTGATGGAAGATAACACACTTGCAATTTATCAATTATGAATGCTTCTCATGGATAGCTGTATTCAATTTATCCAGCTGGCACAGTACACATCTGAATTAATTGTTCTGTTCTTTGAAAGCAACTTGTAGAATACAACTCTCTTCCAGTTCCACCAAATTGAGAGCAAGATCTTGTTTAAATGAAGTCCTGTTGGGGACCATCACAAACCACTTTAAATTGTGATGGTTACCACACTTTCCATCTCTCTTCAGCCCTTGTAATATAGCTAAACTATACTACTATACATTCTTCATAGTATAGTTGAGATGCAATTGAGATGTATCTCAAACTTTCATAAGTATAATATGCACTGTTAATTTATACCAAAAGAAATTTTTATTTTTGTAATATACTATACTTTTAAACTCACAAGATTAAAACTCGTGTGACTGTATGCCATATTGTAAGCTTTTGTCCTCCTTACAATTTTACTTGTTCTTTCCAACTTCTAAGCTTTTTTAATCTTCTTAATTTTTCTTTCTTGGAGATGAGGGCCACGTCTTAGACTTTACAAACATATTGTATGCAAGGTTATCTGAAGGTATACAAAGCAAAGGTAGGTCACTTTTCAGCTGGTGCTTGAAGAAAGAAGACAATGAAAGGAGAGATATTACAGTGTCCCATGACCAAGTAGATGGGTGAAGTCAGGACTTTGAATACTCAGATAGTAATCATATAATGACATTATAATTCCTCTTCCAGCACAAACTGTATTTAAGACTCTCATTCAATTTCTTGGCACTCAGGGCATTTTTCAAAACATTTGCACACAATTCTAATCCAATAATGCCTAAACATTTTGAATGTCAGGTCAAATAAGTCAAGCAGGCAAGCTTCAAATATTTAGTATACACTACATATAAAAAAGCAGGCCTTATGATTATAATTTAAGATTAAGACCAACAAACATTTTCAGTAATCTTAAATTTTATTTGAAATTTGCTGGAGTTTGGGTTTTTAACACAATATTTTGTGCTTATCCAGTTACAATGGAGTTAAAGAATTTAAGAGTAATGTGTCAAATATGTTTGCAGGCTGGTTTTGGCCCGGGAACCTTAGTTTGTGCACCATTATTCTAATCAATTGTATTTAGAATGTAACTCAAAACTTTCTCCACATATTGTTTAGTAAATGATGCTATATTGAAGTTTTGGAATATAAATACAGTCGACCCCCCCTTTTTTTTTAACTCTTTCCGCCCTGTGGGCACTAAGAGGGCCTCTTTTTGCAAGCCCATTATGGGTTCGGCCAGGCCCACAATGGGGCTGCCGGGTGGTGAGGGACGGGGTCCGGCGTATCCGAACGGACCACCCCCCGAAAAATGCCTGGGGATTTTTCGATCCGTTCGGATTCGAACCCGGGTCCCCCAGAGCGGTAGGCTGCCACCTTGACCGCTCGGCCATCCGGCCGCAGGAATATAAATACAGTAAGACCCCACTTATGAAGCCAAGTTTACTGCTAATTCAATATAACACAGTCTGCTCTAAGCCTAAAAAAAGCTCAAAATTTATGCTGATTTAAATTATCACATTATTTCGTTGATTCATATGTACTGTAATACGATTATTTACTAACACAAACCAATCAGAAAAAAGTGTCAAAAAGGTGTACTTTCTGTAAATCTATGTTTGTTTGGTGCAATTTTGGAAAAATATAACATCATGGATGCCAATAGGAAATATCAGCTTCACTTGGAAAAAATTAACTGATAAATGCACAATGAAGTATGGAAGAAGTTATGGCTGAAGTTATCCAAGAATTTTCAATGAGAAGAGCCTATTGCTGTATTGTTAGGTTGACCAAACTCAACCTAATCGATACAGCAGGACTAGGAAATGTAGACGAGCAGGATATTGAGGAGTTACTGCAAGTTTCTGGTGAGAGTCTTACCAACGACAACCTTCAAGAACTGGTGAACAAGGAATTCATATAAAACTGGAAAATAGATATTCTGAAAACAAAGAACCCAAAAAATTTTTCTACAGATTTCCTTAGTAAAAGTTTGGTAAAGATAACCAAAGTTGTTGATCAAATTGTAACAAATGATCCAGATTTTAAAAGGAGTGCAAAAGCAAAACTAATCATTTTGGATGTGATCTTCTGCTACTGATGTTTGCTTAAGGAAAGAAAAAAGCAACAAACGAAACTTCATGACTTTATTGCAAAAAAACAAGAATTTCAGAAGAACCAGGACTTTCATCACAAAAAATGAATTTTACATTTCTGTGTGTATATGTTTGTGTGTTATTTAACATATATTATTATACAAATTAATATAAAAATAACTTAAAATTAAAGTAAAATTTGTTTATTTTTAGTCACGCATTCCCTTATTCCTATTTACTCTGTTAAAATGACCTCATTTAACACTATTTCATTTAGGGCTTTGTTGTCTACGAACATATCTATACAATAAGACCCCACTTAATGCGGGGTCTTATTGTAAAGATTTTTCTTATATAAAGACTGATCAAGAAACATTGAGAAATACGGGTATGTTCCATGAAGTTTGGGTAATAAAAACTAAAAGATATTATATCAAAAAATTTTTAAGTGAGATGATGTTAAGGAAGGGATATCCTCATATATATGAAATTGCTTTTTATAAAAATACAAGGTTCTGTAAAGTATCTATCACAATCAAAAAATATTTCCTATTTCCCAGAACACCAGAAGAAAAAAGAATATTTCCTACTGGTTATTGATCTAAGCTGTTCAGAGAAAATTACAAACTCACTAATTCATTTATAATTAAATAAATTAATTAAAGAAAGAGAAAAGATTTAGCTATATTTCCATATCATACAATTATGAAAATAAATTGCAGTTCTTTAATCATTCTATTGCTAGTTACGAGATGTTTTTTATGAAATAAAATAAAACTGGCATCTTTATTATTTTATAAAAAAACATCTCTTTTTATAAGTTTTTTAATATCTTTATTCATTTAGAGTAGTTTTATAAAATAAAAATAATTCAAAAAACAAATCAGGACAAAACAATGGGATGTACTGTACATCACATAAACTGACTCACTTGAACCTTTAACTGCTGCATAATACGATTAAAACGTATAAGCAAACATTTTCTTAAC